ATAGGGTCTTATCGTGTGGATTATGTAGTTGAAAAAACGTAGAACAGAGATTTTAGAAGTCAAATCCTTTGTTTGACTTCACTGCAGCAATGATGTTTATGACTCGGATACTGGGGCTGATAAGAACAAGAAAGAATCTGTTGTCAGCATTACTGGCAGGTATTGCACTCTTGTTTCATAGAACTAATAACACTGTAACTGGCTGGCAACTGGCATGGTTGGTTTTAGAAGTGAAACATGATGTTATGTTGTAATCTGATTATGCAGTCGAGCAATGACACAAAATGCTGCGAACATTTCCCTTTTCCTCGGCTTTGCAGGGCTATTTTGGGCCTTTGCAGAAGCCAAGGATATCAGATTTATTTTATTGGTGATGTGTGCAATCTTCTGTGGTTATGTTTACCAGGTAGTATTATCTTCACTCCCTTTTTCAAGGAACTAGTGTAGTATATCTTAATGGTCTGTATCATTGGTTAGACCATATGTACTTGGCTGTTTGTATTGACTTTGAATCCTTGTACACATAATAGTATTTAAGCCATAAGTCATGTTCAAGTAGTTAGAGTAATATTTCTCGTTCTTTAATTTCATTCTTTTGACTTTGTGCATTTCCTCAGTGTCCTCCATTCCGATTAAGTTATCAAGGACTAGGTGAGCCGTTGTGTTTTGCTGCATTTGGTCCATTGGCAACCACAGCTTTTTACTTCTCAAACAGGAGCATAAATATTTCGAGGTAACCATGGATTATTGCTGTACATCTTAATTGAAGACCATTGTTTCACTTGCAACTGAACCTAAATAGTTTTTTAAATATTGTGATATGCCAGCGGAACGGCACTTCTCCCTCTCACCAAAACAGTTATAGCTTCATCTATTCTTGTTGGGCTGACAACTACTATGATACTCTTCTGCAGCCATTTCCATCAGGTATAACTCTGGCTGACAATATAGTGTCCATTGTATAATTTTTTCCCCAAGTAGTCCAGTGTAGTACTACTTTGTTTTCTTTTGAGAAAAATTCTTATAAGCAGATACACCCTTTTATTCTGTAGATTGATGGGGACCTTGCCGTTGGAAAGATGTCTCCACTGGTATTCCTTCTACCTTAAAACCAAGTTCAAATTTCCTTTACCAATTTTGACTTCGCACCCATAACTTTTTTTTATTATTATAACACGGGTTTTGTGTACCTGAATCTGCCAACAGGTAAGAATTGGCACTCAAGCAGGATCGCGGATAGTGTCCATTGGGATTCTCACGCTTTACGTTCTCTTGGCTGCATTTGGCATATGCAGATCTCTCCCACTAGCTTGCATTGTGAGCTACTTTCAACCGATCATACTGCTCCATGTAAAAAAAAAAATAGTGATCTTGAATTGCAGTTCTTGGCTCAACCATTGCTACGATAATTTTCAGGTCCTCTGTGCCCTCACTCTGCCCATGGGAAAATTGGTTGTGGACTATGTGCTGAAAAATCACGAGGTAAATCGCTCTTCTCCCTTGCGTTTTCTCTGAAAAAATGAAGATGCGATTTTGCGCTGATACGGTTTGAGATCACACGCCTTCAGGACAACACAAATATATTCATGGCGAAGTACTACTGCGTGCGCTTGCACGCGCTGTTTGGGATGGCACTAGCTTCGGGTTTGGTCTTGGCCCGTAATGGTATATTAGCCTGACAGTGACAGATAGATAGGCGGCATTGAAATCCAGGAGAGGATCCAGAGCAGTAGAGCAACTTGCAGTTTCAGATTCAGTGAACGCACAACCTTCAATTGCGTTCTGAACTAACTTCTGATTCGACAACCGTCAGAACGATGAGAATGGGTGCAGTACTGAACAGCAGCAGTTTTGCCGAGAAACGGAAGAGAGAACTCAGATGCACACCGGCCCGTATTGGCAAGTTGCTCGAGTTGAATGAAGAGGTTCAGACGTTCTGTGCTTTAGTTCATTAGCTTCAGCATCCGGTTTTTGCCCAAGGAGCACGCCATGTACGCTTTGACCGGCTCGGGCTTGCTCGTGCACGGTCAGACTGCCGTTGCTCCGGGGGATCCCAGTATGAATTCAATTCCAAGCGAGGACGAGTCATGTACAGTACAGGCATTACTTCTCTGCACAAACGTGCCGACTGACCATACAGATTTTGGGAGATTTCATTCACACCGTTGAGTTTCACATTTTGCCTTCCTTTTGGTTTTAGTGATTAGCCAGCTAGCGTTAACTGCTTGTAATTGCAACGTCCTGTATGTTTCCATCTGTCTGTCCAGATGCTACTGACAACGCTACAACACCTGCTGCTGCAAAGTGTTCCCCATACTGGTCAATCCTTACACTGACACACAGTCAAGGCCATGCTCACACAACGTGATGCGCAGGAACCGCACAACCCGGCCCAAATCCAACCTGGATGGCGTTGGCATAAACAACCAGAGCAGCTGGAAAAACATGTTGAAAGTGAAATGCTACTAATATACAATGCATTCAAACGATAAAAATGCACCAGGAAATCAAATATTTTGACCGTACAAGCGCAGTTTACAGGAAGAGAGCAACCACTGGCGTCTTCTCATCACATCACTTTCCAAATTGGACTTCGTAGTAACTGTTATCCTATTCCTATCATATCATCCATATTTGACAGAAATGGACATCTGTGCTTCTCAGCTCCCGCTTTTCAATCAACTTGGTTCACAGTAAAATTCTCCTTAGTGGAGCACCTCGCGTCGACACCACCCAATTGACCGGAAACTCAACAATTGTGGAAAGGCATATCCCAGAGAGTGATTTAAAGCTTGTAAGTAAAAATATGCTCGTCCCACATTCATCGATCGGCCAAAGATACACCTTTGTTCCAACGTCGACAGCTTCAGGAATCAGGGAGGTTAAAAATAAAAACAGTGGAAAACAGAGAATTTTTTGCTCTTGCCAGTCATCTAGTAGAGAAAAATGAGTTAACACCTGCTTACCAAGCAGTCGGTAGTTTCAGGATCCAACCATGCATATTTGGTTAACACGGCTGTTTGGTTAGTTCCATAGTAACGCAAACGTAAAGAATATTAGTTCAATCTTATCTCCCACCGATAGCGTCTGCAGCTTTAAATCATTTACGTTTGCGTTACCACTGTAACGCAAATGTAAAGAAATTAGTTCAATCCTATCTCCCACCGGTAACGTCCGCATCTTTAAATCATTTACACAAATGTGAAGAAAATTAGTTCAATCGTATCTCCCACCGGTAACGTCCGCAGCTTTAAATCATTTACACAAATGTGAAGAAAATTAGTTCAATCGTATCTCCCACCGGTAACGTCCACAAGGTAGAACCAAACAGCTGATTAGCTCAATCACAAAAGATTGCAACACCTGATCCTTACCCATGTCGTGTGGCGGCCATGTTTGGTTTAGACCTGGAAAGGCTACCTGGCCTAGACAACAATCCTAGCACCCTGTTTGCTTCGTTTCTGTGGTTTATAAAAGTTCGGCTGATCTTTGTTTTGTTGTGAGAGAAAAAAACACCAGATCATGACCGATACGATCAAGTGAACAGGGTGCTAATGGTTGGATGTTGTTGCCTAGGCCAGACAGGTCTTGAGGACACCAGCCAAACAAGCATCAGGGACATGTATGCTTTAACCCCATGCAAAAACTGCCTTGCCTTGCGCCGGTCTCTCTCAGGCGTGTGATTTTGATCGCCTCGGTTTAGGATGCATGCTTGGCCCAAAGAAGTTCAGGAGAGTTCAATGCCCAGCACAAAAACGGCTACAATACTCATGAATCATGATAAGCAAATAGTACTACAGCCCATGATTAACAAGAGAGCAGAACCAAACGGCGATGTGTCACCAAACATGCTTTGTATAATTCATTCATGTGACCATAATTAGATGAGCCATCGTACACCACAAAACAAACGAGGTCCATGTCACACCAGAAACAAGGATCCAAATATCCAGCACAGAACAAAGACCAACAGCCTATTTATTTCGGCTGAAACGATAGTGAATTATAAGCCAGAAATACTGCTAGCTAGTTTGACGTGAGAGAAAAATACTATTCTAGCTTATAATCCACGATCGTTAAGCCGAAACGAACATGCTAAAGTCTACATATCGAATCGACGAATCGCATGCACAGGCACAAGAACCCAGTCCTTTTGACCTCACAAGTCACGAGCACCTCACAAGTCACGAGCACTACGCTTACAGGCCGTACTTTTTTATAGTATTTTTTTCGTACAACAAATAAGTCAATAATATTTTCAGCCGCCAACCGAACAGGACAAAAGAACATTGTAGTTCAAATGAGTTTACTTTTTACTGCAAATGTAGCCAAGCAAGAGTAGACGGGTCCCACCGATGATAAAAACTACTACTTACTATATCATTTTTTTTAAACATACTACTTACTATTACCTCCGTTTGTGTTTACCTATCAGTAACTTTTTATTGTAACAAATTTGAAAAAATCTTAGATACTTCAATGTATATAACACTAATAAAGTATGTTTAATAAAGAATCATATATGTGAAAACTTTTAATGAAGTATGTTTAATAAAGAATCATATATGTGAAAACTTGATGTATCAAAAAATCTTTTCCAGAAAAAAAACCCTATGGTCAAATTTGCTACAGTAAACGGAGGTAAGTATATCATCGTCCTAAAGAAGTTTTGGATATGAGATTCTGCCATACATATTGCTTGCATAAGCTTTGTTACAAAAAATTAGCCAAACATGAGCAATCCATATTGGTTGCCAACCAAACGCCGCATGTCCCATATACACCAACAAAATATCAAGGCAGTTGGAGCACGCTACTAGGAGAAAAAAGAAAGAATTTTTGAGCTAAAGGTTTTTGAGACAGAGAGATGGAGCTAACAGAATGTGAAGGTATTGCTTGCTGCTTCCTCCTTTGGTCGCCGACCGCCGCCTCGCCAGATCTCTCCAACACCAGCTGTATCTACACATCGGCGGCGACGCAACGGTGGTGGGGTTCCTGCGTCACGGGTCGCGGACGCGGGGACTGGTGGCCGGCATGGGCACGCCGGGCGACGGCGGCGTCCGTGGCGAGGGCAGGCAGCCGAAGCCGAGCGGCGACGTGGGCGCGTGGATCGGCGAGGGCATCCCGCGGAGGCGGCGCATGTAGGCGGAGATGGGCGACTCCGCGGTCATGCAGACGGCCGGGAGCGGCGGGAGCGGGGAGAGCGCCGGCGGTGCCGGCGGTAGGATGGGCGGCGGGCGCGGCGGGGCTAGCGGCGGAGGGCGGATGCGGTGGAGGCGGGAGGGTATCGCCGTCGGCGGCGGAGGCGCCATGATGTGAGGCGGAGGAGGAGGCGGCGGCGCCATGATGGGAGGCGGGGGTGGTGGCGCCATGAGGGGGGCGCGGGTGGGGGCGGGGGCGGCCGCGGGCTGCGGCGGCAGGAGGTGGGACGGCGAGCCGGTGAGCTTCTGCACGACGTCGCGGAAGTTGGACTTGTCGATGTTGTATACCGGGGCTGGGGAGGCGGGTGGTCGGCAGGGAAGGAGGGGCCTGCGTCGGCGGGAGCGGTGGGGGGTGGCCGGGGAGCCGGCGGCGGCGGGGGGAAGGCGCTCTCATGGTGGAAGCGGGAGCCGGAGCAGGAGCGGGAGAGGCGGAGGACGACTGCTTGGAGATCTTGTAGGAGGCCTTGTTGAGGGACTTGAGCGAGGAGGAGGCGGAGGAGGGAGGCGGCGGCGGCGGCTGTGGGAGGTTGGACTTGTCCATGACCATGGCGGAAGAGGGGGAGAGTGTTGGGGAACTGGTGGGAGATGGGATTTGGGGAGTGAAGAGGGGGGAGTAGGGAAGGATGGATGCTGAGCTTTGGATAGGCGGGCGACAGGCTCTCCGACCCGAAACAGGCGCAGTGGGCGGCAGTGCGGTGGTGTGGCTGCCTCTGCATGCTCGGCGCTTCAGCCGCTCACTCAGGCTCAGGCGCTCAGCTAGTCAGCTCTCCTTCCTTCCATGTGGACTGCAGTTTCGCGAGCTTTCTAACTGTACGTGTTTTTCTTCATATACTTACCGAGGACTAAAAAAACATTTTTTACTCGGATTTCGTCACTTCTTTCGTGCCATAAGATTAGCACCAGAATTTGTGGCGTTCATCGGTGTTCGGGCCATTTTTTCTGGCGGAAACGGAAGCAGCTAGAAGCTCGTTCGCTCGCTCGTATATAATCGTAGATTATAAAACGAAATAATATTTTTCTCTCACATTAAACCAGTCAGCAGTAAATAATCCACAATTATTTACAATCTTCCCAACAGCCATTCGCCCCCCGAAGCAATCACTGGCAACAAGAAACTGCACCACACGCAATCCACAGGCCGCTAGGGGCCTGGACCACACCCAGTTGTAAAACGTACTTTTTTTAGCGAATAAATATTTTTTTTAAATAATAATTCAGCGAACAACATCTTTCAAACTAGCATCCTAGCCAAATGAACGAGACCCTACCGCTATAAAGCAGTCGAGGGAGAAGGAGCAGCAAGCCCCCAAGTAATCTACTCCTGGGGATTAGACAAACCCAAGCAGGCGAGCACACAAGCTGCTGAGCCTACCACTGCCAAAGTGGCGTGGCACGGAGGCGAGCGCGATGAAAAGATGTGCTCGATCAGGATTCAGGAAGGGGACGCGAGGCGTAAAGACAAGTCCCGAGAGATTACGAGGGCCATTAGCGGAGCCATGTGGAGCCGCAATCGCTTTCCAGCTTTTAAATTACGATTACGATACGACAGCACGCACGGGAAGCTGCTTTGACCGAAAGGGTGTCTTTGACCGGGCCGGGGGCAGAATCGTCTCTTCAGATGGGGCCAGCTAGCTGGAGCTCGTACTGGAGCAGTAGCACGCAAAGGATATCTCTCATCTCGTTCTCGCTGTTTTCTTTATTCCCCTCAGTGCGGGGTAGGAAAAAAAAATGAAAAAGACTTTGGGAAGATGGGATACGGTGGTTTCATCTTATCGTCGCCACGCTACTATTGGGTTTCGGAAATCTAGCTTTATTAGTGCAGATAAGGCACCGGTTTCTGAATTTGCTCTTCTGACTTTATATTGGTGTGGTATACTAGCATGTCGTTAACTCCTTAAGGATGTGTTTTGAGCTACACAGTGTCTTCAGTTCATGAAGAAGATCCCGAGGGCTATGCTGAAATTTAATTTATACTGATATTTATGATAAAATATAGTGAGAAAAAAATATTATTCTGCTGAATAAGCTCAGGTGAAGCAGGGTTGAAATTTAAGGGATCTAGTTTGTTTTTAAGTTCATCTCTACTCCGAAAAAGACAGAACTCGACCCGTTCTCCAAACCGTGGTGAAGCCGCATCGAAATTTGTGCCGCACACCGCCGCCTCCCCTTCCCCGCACGGCCGCACAACCCGCCCCAATCTCCTCCCGCACGACCGCACGCACGAGCCACTCCGCCCAGTCACCGCGCCCCCCGCACTCGTCCGGTCTCGGCGCGCCCCCTCCGCTCCCGTCCCGCTGCCAGGCCGCGCCGCCGACGCCGTGCTCCCTGCCACGCTGCCGACACCGTGTTCCCTGCCGCGCCGCCTTCTCCCAGCCCGGCCCACCCCTGCTTCGCTGCGGAAGAAGAGGGCAGCAGCCCGTAGCATGAGCGCATGACCCAGGAGAAGGAGCATCTCCATGCGGCTGTGCAACATCTAGGGTTAGGTTCGAGCCCCTTGCCAACGGCATCCCACATTACCCTTCAGTTGCCAGTAACCCTACATCTCACCCCTCCCCTAACTTGCAATTTGCATTTATGTTATCGGTGCCATTGTGTCAGGATCCCAGCGTAATCGTGACAAACTGATAAGAATTTGATGGAAATTGCAGCTAGAGTTCTAAGTTGGGCAAGTTGGGAAGTGAGAGAGATAAAGTCGGGAGAGAAGGAGAGAGAGAATTCCTTCTGCTTTCTTTCTAATTCCCCCCGCTTGCTTTCTAATTCCTCCTGCTTGAGGATCTTTAGGTCGTCTGTAAATTCATAGAAGGTCGTGTGTAAATTCAAGAACAAAGATGTCGATCCTCTATTCACAACAAGGCCAGATTAGATGGTTGTACAAAGACGGCTTGTTTGTAATAATGGACTGTCCAGGCCGAAGCTTCCATTGATGCTAGCAAATTTGTTTTTGTTTTACTTTGGGATTTCTTTAGTTCATGCATGTGATGTTCATGGCAGCAGGAGCATGATTTGCTGGCCATAGAGCTTGATATGATTGTACAGAGTCGCTTCTTACAATTTTAGTATTTCTCTGCTAATGAAATAGGCATGCCATCCTGCTCTGCATCAATAGAGGTTGTGGGGATTTAGAATCACAGCACCCTAAGACATCATGGTTTGAGTAATTACAGCGTGCATGTTTACTTAAGAAAAAAATGGATTGTGGAATCCATTATTTGAGTTTTCCAGTGCTGTTCCCTATGATGTCCTGGGCAGAAAATTTGTTCTGGAAGTATAGGCTTGAGCACTATGTGCTATTTATCTGAATAAGATTACTGTAATGGGCTGACAATGTATAAGATTACAACACAAATACGTTATTTTCTATTCTGTTTAAAAAGGTTTGTTATTATTTGAAAAAGAAAACAACGATCTCATTAACTTAGTTGTGGGACTTAAGCAATTTCAGGCTGACCTAACTTATAGGAATTCCATTTTATTCCATTAAGTTGGAAGTCGATGTGGTGTAGTTTTGACAGACTTTATTTGCTCCATTTAAGGATTTTGTTAATATTTTTTCTTATGTACTGAAGAAGGAAAATGCATCAATCATTTTTCTTTGAGACATCTTTGAGTTCTACTCGTAGAAGCAACGAATGAGTCTGATCCTGAATCTCTTCTCTTTGATGTCTTTCAGCATCCTTGTTTATGAAGAACGTGAAAGGGAATCCTCATGGAAGCCATCTCTAGATTGGTTCTGAGGTATGTTAAATCACTTTGTTCTTTTGCTTCTTTTGTTGCTTGTGGAGTAGAGCACAAGAAGCAGATTAGTTTATTTTTTGAAGCAGCAAAGGCATCTTTACAAATGTAAATTTATTCCTACACAGGTTATAGTATTATTCAGATAACTACTGTATGTAAGATTCACTCTCTTTGGATCGATTCTGCTGCCCTTAGTTGTGGTAATGATCGCTGATATTGGAAGGAGTAAAATCTCAGGTTTGAGATCTCTTTCAAGTCAGACTAATCATGGCAGTTAGCTTGACTTTGTGATTCATGCGGTGTGGTCTTGTGTGTAGAGTCAATCACAAAATAGTCTGACTTGATCTGAAACAGTTAGTTGCATTTCGTTTGTCGATGCAAGCCTTAGAGATTTGCTGGATTTACTTTTTTAAGCAGCACCTGTTGGCGTTCTGCAGATGAATTTGCTATTATATGCATTCATCTTTTAGCAACCGTTGGCAATCTGAAACTTCCTCCTTGATTCACATAATTTGATATGCTGAATTTCGACGGGGCTAATATGTCTGGCATGTGCTGCTGAGACTCAACAACCTTAGTTAACCATTGTTATACTATCATCTATTCTGTGTCAGGTTTATTTAATTTTGTTTATGTAAGAATTAATGAATCAATGTGGTTATATATAAAGTGGCTTTAGCAGTGACTGCTAATAATCATCAGGGCATTTTTTTGGACAAGAACATCATCAGGGCTACTTTATGGGGGATATTGCAGTCAACTCTTTTGGACAAGAACAGGGCTACTTTTGTGCTTAATATATATAGAAGTTAAGTTCTCACCAAGTTCTAGCAAATTATTGTGCTTAATACACCCTCTGTAGTCTGGATGATTATTGTTTAATTACGCAGTCAAGTATAATCTATAAGTTTTGTTATAATCAAACATGTTGTGAGTTCAGATTGGGCTTAGCTTGTGCAGGGTGTAGACATCATCATTTTGGTTGGAAAACTTAAAATAATCTCATGAAACAATTGTGAGGTCTTATATGGCAGCAGTTCAACCTTGTCGTTCGCTAGCATTCTTTTGCTTTAAAACTATTTGTTTCAATTATTTTGGAAAAGAAAGAATTGCCTAACCTCTACCAACTGTCTTTTGCAGCACCAAGTCGGTTGGAGAATTTTTTGAGAAGATGTCTGCAGTTTAACATTTCTGCAACACCAAAACTTGGCTGGAGGCATTTTTGAGAAGAAGTGTATGGCAACGATTTAGATTCTTCTGCAATTGACTTGCTCCCGTATGCAGCTTCTTCTGCCACCAAACAAGCCTAAACTATGACCATATCTATTCTGTTTGAAACTTCTTATACTCCCTTCATCCCAAAATAGATGACGCCTTTGACTTTTAGATATTATTTTGACCATTTGTCTTATTTAGTTTTTTTGTGCAAATAATAA